AACACACAAGTAGACCCCTCCACTTTTAGCTCCTATCAATGCACCACACACAAGTGCCTCTTTTCTGTGCCAAATGTTTGCCTTGGTCTTCAGAGACCTCCTTTCCAGATGCACACTAACGTGGCTATTAGAGATGATGTGCCAATGTTATCTGGAGGCTCCAGTGTCTTCAGTGGAGAGTTCCAATGTTTCAGCTTTGGATCCACTGCAGGAATCTGGGGAGCTAAAGTTTGTGCTGTCCTAAAGATGTTCCGTATCCTATGGTAGTTTATCCCCAGGTGTGACCAAAAAGGACAGAGGGTGATCAGAAATCAGAGCAGGACATTGTGCACTATTCAGAAGCATAACTTGTGGGTGAATTACAAAGATACTGGGGCCTCTTGCGAAGGTCCTTCTGGAGCACATTTAAGAAACCTTGCAAATTTTCTTTTTGAATTGACTGACCAGGTGTGCTTTTCACTCAAGATAAATGTGCTCAAGGGCATCAAGCAATTTGCTTCAAGCAAAGAGCTCCCTTGGAGGAACCACACGAAGCCAGTTTCCAGTCTCCTATGAGATGGTGCAACAGGTTTCTTTCTTCCTCATATGTGTTAAACAATGAAACGAGTCCCCATTCTCACAGGCTGTACCGTGCACCCAGAAACACTAGACAAGGAGTATTCTCCAGTCATTTTGTTCCTGGGGCTCCAGTTGGGCACAGGCATACGGTCTTGGGAGTAAGTGCGGTGGGTTCACAATAGTGATGCCCAATACTTAGGATTACCAGGATCTTTAACCTACTCATTAAACATGGTATTGTATTCCTCCAGTGTTAAGCTATAACCGTGTTAAAAGTCACACTGCATTTATCCTCAGTGTCAAAGACCTTGTAACGTCTCCTATCCGCCTTACCTGTTAGCTCGTATTTTTACTTTTCTGATATTGTAAAAAATATATATCCAGTATGTAAAAATGTTCTATAAATCCTTTGTATAGTCATTTTCTCTGCTCTTTAAATATCATCTCTATTCAGAGTATAATAAAAATTATGAACTTGGTAAGCCTTTGTGAGACAGGCATTTTGTGTGCCCCACAGTGTATGTTGTGTGTATGTGTGTGCATGCGTACGTACATGAGTGTGTGTATATATGATATATGTGGGGGAGGTCTATCTCGGCATGTGTGTGCCTGTGTTTTTGTGGACTGATGGATTTAATTATAAGTGCACTTATGTTTTATTTTCAAGAATATATTTTAAGATCACTGCCCAAATACTTTCAAAGAAATTTTTTTAAATGAGAGAGAGAGAGAGAGAGAGAATTTTTAATGTTTATTTTTTAGTTATTGGCGAACACAACATCTTTCTTTGTATGTGGTGCTGAGGATCGAACCCGGGCCGCACGCATGCCAGGCGAGTGCGCTACCGCTTGAGCCACATCCTCAGCTCCAAGATCAAAGAAATTAATTACGACATGCAGTGTTGATGATAGCTACTGATATGTGCTGTTGTTGCTATAAGTTTCTCACACACACTTGTGTGTGTTGCAGGAGTATGCCTTGGAGTGGACATACTCCTGCAATACACACAATTTCACTGTCCCCTGACAGTGCCTACTTAGTATCTGAATACTGAAAGTTGAAAGAGGTAGATACAGCCCAGACCTCAAGACTTCCTGCAGGGTTCTCCCCTCTCCAGTCCTATGGAGGCTCCTCCCTCTCTGGGGAGAGAGGATCATTATCAGTCCTGCTAGCTCTCTGCCCTCTCTGGCTACCCTTTCCCTCTGCGTCAAGGGACAGGACTCAGCTCTGCCCAGTAGCAGATGTGTTGGGCTCAGTTTGGTCATGGACAGATAATGATTTCAATTGGCTGCCACTCTCTCCAGCTCCATATTTCCTATCTTCATTTTTAGCTCAGAAGAATTTGACTCTTCACTGTGATGAGACACAGGAGATCATTTCATTGTCACTGCACTTGGATCAGGAAGGTGGGCTTGAAATGGTCCCTGTACTCAGAGCAGAAGGGACAGAAAACAGTGGCAGGTTAAATTTTGCCCAACGGGGGGTTCTTGTTGGTTCCTTAAGGCAGTAACTGCCTAGATCTGGAGCAGCGTCCTTGCAAGGCATGAGGTGGGTAGGGCATGGATTTGGCAATCTACAGAATGTGATTTCTAAAAACAGTCAATATTCATCACAAAGGCCAGACTCATAGGGCACACACAAGTCCCTTAAGTCCACACAGGGGACTGTCGGACCCAGCAGCTATGAGGCCTCAGCAGGACAGGGCACTGCCACATGCAGGGGGAGTGATGGGTTCATCTCTGACCACCTGTTATGTGATGGGTACCTGGACCCAAGCCTCATCATCATTCTGTTGCATAATGCTTACTATGGATCCTCCTGCTAGGGAATGTCGGATCTGCACCTTGGTCATGGCTTCTGTGCCCCATCCTAGAGGTTTGTGTGGCCTCTGAGGAGGTAGGATGAGATGCCCAATGGCCTTGGGGGAATCACATTAACCAGAGCAGGGGTCTGGGCAAGTACTAGAAAGGGACATATCATGACACAGAAATTGGTCTAACAAGAAAAATGGATGAATCACACAAATGACATTAAAATTTCTGAGAAACCAGAGGCTATAGTGTGACGCATGAACAGGGGCAATAGTCAGGGGAAAATGTCGTCACCAAAAGTCTGTCACCAACCAAGTTGACTGAAATGGGGAGAGGGCAGCAAATGGGATCCCACCAGAACAACTGATCTTACTCATAGATCTAAGTCTCCATTTCCATTCCACAGACTCCAAGGTAGCTGAGGGAAGCCGAGGGAGATCCTATCACAGCAAGCACTTGACCCCACCAGCAGAGGACAGGCAGGAGACTCCCCATAACAAATTCTGTGCCACGGAAACCTCTTCCAAGCTGTGTGTCTGAAACTCCTCTACCCCACTGACACCCTTTCTGTCCCCCAGGCTGCCCCAGCTGGGAGCCCAAAGGATACCAGATTAACTGAGCACATCCACAGCTCTGAAAAGCTCCGATGATTGAACTGTCATTGGGACCATATCATACAAAGCAGTTTAAACATAACTAGGACAACCGCTTTCTAAAACTAAAAGATTCAAGTACGACTGAGTGTCTCCTTATGAAATAGGTAAAATGTCCAGGATGCCATTGAAAATTACCCATTATCAAAAAAAAAAAAAAAAAAGAAAGAAATGTACTGCATGAATTATAGACAATTGATACCAACATCAAGACAAATCTGATTCTGAATTTAACTGGCAAGGTCTTTAAAATAGCTATCATAAAAATGCGTCAACAAATAGATACAAATTCTCTTGAAAATAAAAAAAAAAGAAAATCACAGGGGGAAAATGTAGAAGCTATGAAGAACAGAATGGAAATTACAGAACTAATAAATATAATAATAGAAATTAAAATCTAATTGGATGTGTTCAGTAACAGAGTATAGGATCAGTGAACTGAATCAATAGAATCCACTCAATTTGTACAACAGAAAAAAAATGACTTTCAAAAAATGAATAGCCACAGGGACTTGTAAGATGGTAACAAAAGAGCCAACATTCATATTTTTGGAGTGCCAGAGGAGAAAAGAAGAAGATAGCTGCTAAAAAGCATTTGAGGAAATAATAGCTAAACATATTCTAAATTTGGCAAAAGACACATCTATAGACTCAAGAAGCCAAGTAAACGCCAAACAAGATCAATAACAAACAAACAAAAATTCATGACAAGAAATATATTGATTTTCTGAAAGCAGAATACAAATAATAAATCTTGAAAGCAGCCAGAGAGAAGTGATGGATCACATATTGATGCACACCATCTTGAATGGCAATGGATTTCTCCTGTCAAACTGCAGAAAAGCTTTTCTTTTTCTTTTTTTTTTTTTTCTGTACTGGAGATTAAACTCAGAGGCACTTACCACTGAGCTACATCTACAGCTCTTTTGTTTTATATCAAAACAGGGTCTTGCTAATTTGCTGAGGCTGATCTTGA